GATGCATGAACAGTAAGAGGATCCAAAAGAAGGCAACCGGGACTAGCATTACGCCAGTGAGAACCAAAAGCAAGGATATTTTGGACTTCATATTCCAATTCTCTTCAAGAATAAAATCTGAAGCAAGACCGTTTTGTCTTTCAGGAAGCTAGGATTACGTTTGCAACCTCACATCATTCCTGTTTTATTCTGAGTCTTCTGAATAAGGACACCCGCACAGAAGGAGGAACAGATCCAGTACCTCCCAAGATCTCACAGATCTTTGAGTAAGTAGCAGCACAAAAAAAAAAAGAAAAAAAGGGAAAAAACACAGAGGGAAGAAGTCATTTTCCACCACATGTGTTTGTTTGGTGTTTAACCAGAGCTACTGAGTACGCATGCGAGAAACCTAGAATTAAAAAGATAGGTAGTAAGATCAATGAAAGGTGGCACTTATAGGTGTGGCTGTTGAAAGAGCCATGTGAGAGCTGCTGGGTGGTTTGATCTGAGCCCTTTCCTCTAGAGACGTTGCAGGCGTGAGCTGTGTCCCTGTGGAACTGTTCTGTGGTCAATGTGGCTGTTTGCACGGCTGAGTACACAGCAGCCAATCCCGAGACCAGCCAGGCACCTTAAAACGCACAGCAACTCTCCTGGAAGCTGCACTAAGCCAACTCGATAAATGGCGATTTCAAACTGGTTGAGAAGAAAACAGAAATTAACTGGCCATCTGATTTTGTTTTCTAAAGCTGTTATCCGCGAAATGTAAAAGATTCACAAAGAAAAAATTCCACCATGGAAAGTTTAAGAGCATAATTGCTCAATACTTACGTGCCGAACTTAAAATGGCACACAGCCTAATAAATTAAAATTCCAAGGGTTTCTAAAAAAATCTTACTCCTATTTCACAGAGGACTTGTATAAATTAAGTACGGATGAGGTCTGGGGTCAGATTCCTATTTTTAAATTGATCAATTGTGTAATATTCATACATGAAACAAAGATGGTAATAAACAGTTTACTTATGCATCATTAAAAGACCCAGTCTCATGCCTATTTTGACATTTTCTAAACAAGTCATTAAGTAAGTTTAATTGTCTTACAAAAAACTGAACTAATCATTGCTTTTAAAAAATGTGACTCGGAAAATAAAAAGGAACATCATTTACCCCACATGAAATCATATGGTGACATTTTTCAGATTATCTCCTTTCCATGCTGTGAAAATCCTATGAACGATACCTAATGATAAACCAATGATCATTTTCTAAAAGAAAGATAAAAGCACAGAAAATTACTAAATATATCAGTACTCTCCATGTTTAAAGGGCAATAATCAACAAGACAAAAAGCTTTACAGAACATTCAGCTTCATGCCTCATTCAATATAGGGAAATAGCAGTTAACCCTATCTTTCTTGAATCTGTCAAACATTGCACAGTAGAGAAGAAACGTCACCTAAAATAAAGCACCATAAAAAAAGATTATGCTCTGCGGCACTATGCTAAATCCACGAATAGCTATTCAACTTCAATGCAAATTTTAAGATAAAAAAAAAACGACCCTGAAGTTAACCCAATCTTTTCCCATGATTGTATTATCATCATTATGCGTTGCGTTCCTAACGTCTGTGATCCAGGCCTCTGCAGGTTTATGTTATAATGTGTCATGCATTCAGCACAGTTCACGCATGTACGTGTGCTCAGAACAGCACTGCTGAATCCCGCAGAGAAGGCTAGGGGAAACACAGGAACCAAACCACCAGTCAAGGTCAACTGTAAAGGGGCTCCCAGAATGGGAGCTGGAGGGCCAGACTCCTGCAGGTTTAACTGGTCTCCTCACACCAAGGTTCATGCAAAGAGCTGCTCTGATTGAGCCAGTCGCTGGTTCCATTAAACTAAGAGTTACACTGGAAAGAAAACCTGAAGGAGGGTATTGCTCAAAGACGGACTTTGGGAACTCCTGCTGTAAGCTGTTTTTAACAAACAACCAATTTGTCTCAGTCACTTCAACCTGGGGAGCTATGAGAAACTGCATGATATGGCCATGACAAAAGAAGACAAGAAATATCCACTGTCTTAGCACCATAAACCAGCCTGTGAGAAAAGAAAGCTCACTTCATACTATTCTTTAGCCCTCCTAAAAGTGGTTTCTTTTCTGCTCACACAAGACCATAAAAAATCAATTTCTTTGACATTATTTTTTTAAATAGAGGGCCTTGCACAGTGTTCACATTTTGTTGCTTTAAAACTTTCAGTCATAACACAATAAATGTTATATACACAACCTATTCGACAGATTCAAAGCAAAAAAAAAAGAAAGAAAGATATAATTAAAATGAAAGAAAAATACAAGTCATGACTGAATGAGTATTCAAAGCCTTTCCTGTGGCAAAACTAAACGAAGTTGCACAAAATTACCTTCATGAGCCACATGCTTAGCTGAGAGGCCTCTGCCTGTTTGAAATAATAAAGCTTCTAAAGATTGTCAGAATAAATACAATCTCTGGACGATTCTCAGTCAGGTAGTAAACTTCAGTCAAAGATTCAACCACAAATCTTGAAGACCAAGGAGCATGCAGGTATAAGATTAAACAAAGACACAGATCTTGAAAAAGGTATAAAGACATCTCAGAACCGCAGCACTGCTTCGCATGGTGACATCGATCCATTCAGAAGCTGAAGGCATCGAGACAGTCTAAAGATCAGTCTGTCCCTTCAAACTGACCATCTGGGCAAGGAGGAAACTGGTTAGGGATGCCACTGTGAGGACAGAAGTGAGATGGAAAGATAGACCTGAGATGGAAGAAACTGTCCCTGGGTCCACAACTTGCCAACCACTGCACAAAAGCCGCCTGTATGGAACCGGAACAAAAACCATCTCAAATCCTGCCCGGGCTTTGCAACAAAGCACCTGAAAGATACTGCAAACCAAACATCTGGCAAAATTGTCTGTGGTCAAACAAGATAAAATGAAGACTTTTTGGTGTAAATGCAAAGCATTTAAACCCAACATAGTGCATCAGTCAGCCAATCCCTAAGGGATTGGGAAGCTTGCCAAGATTGATGGGAACACAGAAGGAGCAAAGTACTGGCAAATATTAGAGGAAAAACTGCCTCAGACCTAATACTGGAACAAACAATTCACCTTTCAGCATGACAACAACACAAAGCACAAGCCAATGGCACACTGGAATGGCTAACTAATAATAAAGTGTGTGTCGCTGAGTGGCCCAGTCAAAGTCCTGACTTGTATTCTATTCAGAATCAGTGGAAAGACTTTACACTACCGCCCATAAGCGATCTCCATGCAACTGGAAAGAGCTTGAGCAAATATCAAGCTTCATATAATGGGCAAAAACTGCACCGAGCCAGTGCGCAAAGTTGGTGGAGTCATCCCCCAAAAGACTTGCAGCTGTAATTGCTGCCAAAGGTGATTCCGCCAAATACCGAGTCCATGGGTCCGATTACAACCATTAACATTTTTTTTTTCCTTTTTTGTTTTTTGTTGGGTTTTTTTTTTAAGTTTTAATGGAATTACTTACCCCGATAAGGCTTCGGCTTGAGTGTTTAGGTTTTGAATTAAAAAAATGACACCAAATTACAAAAAATAATCTGCAAGCACCATTTTGTAATTTCACAACAGGATATGAATATTTCAGCCAGGCAGTGCGTAAGCACACCTGGAAAAGATACCCATTTCAACTGCTAATTTCCACTTTCACTTGCTTTTTTTCGCCTCCATGTTTGGGACCAGATGTGCAAATCCTAAAGTTGCTATTCTAGCCAGTTTCAAAGCAAAAAGGCCAAACGAGAGGAATATTTGACTTCACTCCACAAGAGACCTATTTAATAATCTGGCGGTTGTGTATGTAAAGGTAGCTTGGCTGTGTCTATGTTGACGACATACAGAACAACATGATCCTAATGAGTTGGAAAATACTGGCTCTCGAGAGAATCCGCCAGATGCTACCGTCATGAGAAAGCTACTGTTTTATTGAATTTCACTTTTATGAGGTTGAATTTATTATTCAACCATTAAGGCATCCTATAAGGCATCGAGCATTAAATTCTTTCTTATGTTACCATCTGAAAAAAGGAAATGTGCACCAATGTAACTTTTGAGCACAGAGGTTTTATACCTCAGTCTTGGAGTCTGTTTTGGACTGCTCTGGGCATCTTTGTTTAAATCTGCGAGACATTTCCACCACTGCCACAGTGTTAACTGGCTTCAGAAGGCTAGCCGACCTTTAAGGTGGAAATGAGCATAGCTATGGCATTCCGTACTTATAAAAAGGTATAGCAATATATTTTATACCAAGTAAAAAGAATACAATTTTCACACATCTGCTGACAAAAGCATTCAGATTCACTCAGTGTTTTGACAATGTTAAGATTCCTTACTGATCACTAGCAGCACAGAACACAGAAACCATTAACTTCAGTATGATAATGCCATGAGCCTCACTCCCTCACAGAAGTAAAGCATTCCTAAGCCATAAATTACTAAGACTAAACTGTGAACTTGACAAAAAGTGAAAAGGTGTATATATTATACAAAGAAGCAACAACTACAGAATATCGTACAACTACTATTTTGTTGCTTCAGGTAAACGGAAGTCTTGTACAGGAAACATCATTATTCCTCTTTGTCTTTTCCTGCATGTTCAAATGGTTCAAATGTACTGTTGTCACACACAGTAGGTGCCTTATATCTTGAAAACATTGGTAACAATGGGCAAATAAGGGGTAAATGTAAGGTCTGAGGGTTTAGTTCAGCTGTGTGCATGGTTGCCCATCTGGTTTCAAATTCAAATCCCTAGTCATCGTAATAGTTTACAAGACCACCTTCTTGCTTACTTCTCAGAAAGCTTTACAAGAAACCAGCCTTTCCATTTCACAAAAGCAGTCAGCAACCCCCTGTTCGGAGGCATATAAATAAAAAAATAATAAAAACAGATTGAAATTAAGAAGGAAACAAAAAATGAACAAAAAATGAAAGAAAAACACAAGTAAAAATGTTACCTGACGCCTTGTAGACCTCATTCAGTAAGGCTTCATTTACCCCAAGAGAGACCCCATTTCCCAGGTTGTGAGCCCAGCTCTGGTAAATGGCCTGCAGTAGGAGAGTCTGGGCTCTAGTGGCTTGTATTGCGAAGTTTGGAAGTTCAAAAATGCACTCTGTGATGGGGACGAAAGGCCTCTTAGTCCTGAAATGAAACACAAGCAAAACCAACTTAGGTGCCTCGTTGTGATCCAAAGGGTCTGCTGCCATATACAAACTCCACAATGCAATTTTACAAACAGAAGATTCAAAAAAAAAAAATCAAGAGTCTAATTAGGTAGGCTCACGTTAATGGAGAAAACAACCATAAAACCACAAAAGAATAGGAAAAAGGGTGTTTATTGTGTGGAAGTTTTGTAAGGTTGAATTTTTTACATTGACCGATCAAGATATTGAATTAATTTTCTCCTCAATGAGCCGTTCACAAGATGTACTAGTGAGAAGAACTACCGTGAGATACAGGTGAAAAGGGACATATTAAAAAAAATGTTGGCCTAGCTGAACTGTCATCTACTTTATATTAATGATAAATTCATGTGCACTTATGAAAGAAAATTATTCTATCACTGTGACTATACAGTAAGTTTACCTGGAGCTTGTCATTTAACTCTGAGCCATATACTGGAACCGATTCCCTAACAGCCATAGTGTTATTTTAAAAATAGTGAAGGACACTCTACACTGAAAGGGTGACATCTAATTCACTCACAGTCCATCTTGCATCTGTTTCTTTGTATTCGAATGACATTACTGTCAAGCCGATGAGAATATGCGTCTTAGATGGAATTAATCGACAGTCTGAAATGAGGTAATGATTTAAGAGCAGTTCTGCATAAGTGGTGATGAGAACAAAGGAATGGTTATAAAGGAGAGGAGGCTGTTTAGCCCACCTAGTTTGGTAACTAGAAGTTAATTGATCCAAGGATCTCATCCAGCTGTTTCCTGAAAGAAGCCCTGGTATCAGCTCCAATAAAGTTGACAGGTTTTTTATTCCACACTCCTGCTTCTCTTTGGGTAAAGAAGTGGCCTCTTCTATAGAAGCCTCTTCTAGCTCTTCTATTTCCCATATCGTATAAAAAGTCTACATTTTAACCACGACGTACTATACCCTGCACTCGTCTAAATTAAACCTCATCTGCCAGCTGTTTATCTGATCTACCCAGTCATTAATTTTATCTGAATCTTTTGGATTTTCCTTTGCTGCTCTTAGAAGTGTTGCTAATCCTCCAAATTTGGCATTATCTGCAAATATCACAACTATCTATAGCAGAATTTAGATCACAGTTATAACTTAAGAAGGTCCTAGAACGGATCCCTGCAGTACTCCACTAATTACATCATCCCTTATCAGTATCCTTTGTATTCTACTCACCAATTCTCAATCCAAACACCTGTTTCCCTGAATGCTTACCCAAGGCATTATTAATTTAATCCCAAGTGGAACAAGAACAACTTGAACAGAACATGGCACACATTCAACCACGTTCTTAAACACTTTGAAATACAATCCCATCCCATTCTTCAACTAAGATCACCTCCAGATGAGGCTGTGCTAGACTTAACTTCCCGTTCCAAAGGTTCTGCCAGTTTTCAACAGAGTAGACTAGAGATGTGGGGATTGTTCTGGGCTTGGAAGTAGATGCAAGTCAATCACACATTGTCACAGGCCAAAAGCAGCCAGCCTTATGTCAGACAATAGGCTAGAAGGCAATTCTCCTGATGCCCGTCAACATCAAGTGACACTACACATCAATTAAACCCAATGAAATTAGTAATGTAGGACTGCATAAATACCAGCCCGCAATAGCAGTTTTTCTTAGAAACCAGAATCCTTATTGTTCAGCTAAGAAACAACTTGCTGGAAATTAGCTTCTTTTGCAAATTGATCCCCTGACAGGCACCAAGTGGATAAAATTCAAAACTCTTCCAAAAGGCAGCTACTTGCAAAAATGGTTTTGGTCCTTGCTAGAAAATATTTAAGTCTGATTTCTACATCTGACCATAATAACGCTTCCCACAATGTTCATATCGAGTTAAAAAAGGGGTTTCAGTGCCAGTCTGAGTCACGGAGAAAACGTTTTTCAAATCACTGACTGTCATGGCAGCACAAAAGACAATTTTCTAAATAAAAGAAACCACAACAGATTTCTTTAAGGATTATGAAATATCAATATGTGTCATGAGCCATTTACTAATGTAATATTTCTGTCCCCATGCAGAAGTTGTGAATGTCATGAGTTATTTTAAATTCTGCTTGTGGAACTACTTGACTTTGATTCACAGCACAATACTCTTTTTTTCTAATTACATGGTCAAGTTGAGCATAAACATTTTTCTCTGTATGGTAGAATTAATTTCTTAAGTTATATTTCCAGTTCTTACAATGAACAAAAGCACCATACCGCATGAACTTCTGTTCTACACACATTGGTGGTAGGTATTGACCTCCCACCTATTGGTCTAGTGGAAAATTTACATGTGACCAAAAATCCAACCCTGTACCTGGATCCATATGCATTCAATGTTCATCAAATGATAATTTAATAGTGGTTTCTGTGGACCTCCACGGGACTTGATTTCCAAGCTTGTTCCACATGTGTACGTAAGTTGGAGATGGGCATAAGAGCTACAAAGCTGAAAGCATTAAATGACTTTGGACAGGAGTTTGTCTGTGTTCTCATCTTAAACCTGCTTGAAGCAAAATCCACACTGACCTAAAGCAGCAAGGGGCATCAGAACAGGCAAGGAAGAGGAGTTTTGTTATTTCTTTGAAGCACAGACATCAACAGTAAGTAAACTATATAGGGACAGTGAATAATCTTTAAAATATGAATTATTAATTTTGCGCTAAAAACCGCAGTGATTAGAAACTTGTTTTTCCCTTTAAAAAACGGCCTACAGCGTTAAACTTGTGAACACCGCAATGCAAGCCTAACTAGATAATTCACATGAAATCTGCCAATCCTCTTGCATACAACCTGTTTAGATTCAGAATTTATCTCAAATTATTTCCAGCAAAAATGTAATATGAATGAAAAAATGTAGACGAAAGAAGAACATATTACATGTGTGTTGCAAATGTTTTTTAAAGGCAATTTTAATGAGAGCTGGCAAGGGATGAAAGTCTGTGCAATTATGCAAGTGTTTACACTATTAAAGAGAATCCGCATGTACATGTGGTTGTCTAAGGCTATATTCATGCACCTGTATGAAATGCCTCTATTATATGCGACGCTAAAACCTAACTGTGCTTGTTAATCACGGCCATAAACCCATTATAGGCCTTTGAAGGAATTGAAATTAGAAAATCATTACACAAAAGCTTTTAATAATATATTTTACACAATGGGTTATGGTAGTCTGGAACAAGCAACCAAGCCGAGTGGTTACAGTCAATCGCCTTTCGTCAAGAGTCATAAGCTGTTTTTTGTCACGTCTTGTGTTTAACCCATTTGGTTCAAGAAATAATGTTGGAAATTCTTTACACACAATTTTGACCTTTGTTTAGTATGTTTAAAATCATACAAAATATATATTTTTTAAATTTCAACTATGATTAACAGCCAAAACTTTCTTTGGGATGTACAAAGTCCTAAAATCTGCAGCAGCCATTTTTACGTGTAAAAATATACCAATTCACATACACGCGTGCTGCCAAAACCAAACCCCAAAAAAGGAAATAAAATCAGTCTAGAAATAAGAATCATTAGGTGGTTATGCTTTAAAAATGAAATATGTCTTCCTCTGCATTTTGCATACCCATTCCTTTTAATTTCCCTGACAATCCCCTGATCACAATATCCTATGAATGATGGTCTTGTTAGCCTAAGCCAAGCCTTTGACACAACAGCCCGTCGACTAACCTAAACCTCCGAGAGGACGCTCATGGGCAGGGCAGGCATGAGTCACCAATTAAATTACCTAGGTCAAGGCTGGCCAACCTCTTTTACAAAGAATCAATTGGAAACTAAAGGGGTTTATTACAAGCACAACTGAACATTCGGAACCCAAGCCTTTTAATTTGCACCGAGCAATCCTGGAATACAACTTGTGTTGGGAAAAAAACGCAACTTTTGACAGACTGTATGTGCCTTTCAGCGTCTGAAACTATCCTTGTGCAAGGAACAGTCAGCTTTCTGTTCTTTCTGTGAAGCGATCTGCTAGACAAGCCAGGTAGGGGCGTTATTATTATTACTTTAACAGAAGGAGAAAAGCATAGTTCAATTACGCCACACAGGTGCTCTTCAAACGAACGCCACAAGGCGCATTTCAGAGCAACTGGCTGCCGCTGGATCCGTCTTTCCCATTTTCATCCAGCAATCAGAGGAGGTGATGCTGAGCCTGCCAGTAATGGTAATTTTGTCTCCTTTTTAACAACCTTTAACTTAAGAATAATTAGGAAAGAAGTTGTTACTGCTACTAAAAGCTCTGCGCGCTAAACATCTGTGAAACTGCAAAGGGGGAAAAAAAAAAGACCAAAAACTAGCAGGTCATACATTACTCTCCTGGGGAAAATAATTCCTAACATAACCAGCAGAACAAGAGTCTCATTAAAAACGCAGCTTGGAAATGGTCCAGTGCAAACTCAGGAAAGGGAGAACTGGCAGGTCGCTGCTTTGTACTTCTGTGGACAAAAATCTATTTGTCTTAATTAAAGGGTGCTTAAACATAACGCTCTGGTTAGAGTGTAAAACTAGTGGAAAAATTGGCACAAGGGTTGGCCGAGAACAGACATTTCTTCAATAGGATTTCATCAAACACGCGCAAAAAAAAAAAAACACACTTTGTCCTGACGAAATGATACCTCGGTCTCTATTCATACTGGCACCAGAGCAGATGGGTCTTGAACTTGTGCTCAGAGCCGACCACGTGCAGGGTGAGGGAACAGCCGCTTATTCTTTTAAAATCAACACCTTGCCATGATTGAAGGAATACGGGGGAGGGGGCAGCTGGCTCCAATGGTTTACTTAGAGTCCCAGAATGCAAGCCTGGAACCTCCAGTCTGTTTCCAAAATTTTCATTTTGATTATTACTCATATCCTGTACAGTACAGAATGATTCGCTCATTTTTTCCCAAAACAACACGAGTCATTTTCAGTGAGGAGAGAACTCTGGGGGCAAGGTGATCGCTGGCCATTTGCTTTG